TGGCCTAGGGAATTTTAGTGGGGTTTTTAAGGGTAATTTTAAGGGTAATTTTAACGATTGGCCTTTACGAATATTTTCTTTTAATTTGGTTTTAATATGGATATTTATTGTAATGTTGTTTTATAAGGCTGTTAGCCGCCCTGAGTCCGGTGAGGAGAAGGGCGGGATACAAATTAAATTATAAATAAATAAATAAAATCATAATTAATTCTACTCTTTGGCAACATTTATACTAATGGGTATGCTCATTTAGCTAGATTATGCCCAATATGAGGAAAATTAGGAAATCAGTGAGATGGAAAGAGGCAATTTTACTTTTTTCTGCATTGTTTTGAGAAATCGTATTTTTAGGCTTCATTTACACAGTTGCAAACATTTGAAGGACCACAGCCCCTGACCAAGACTGAAATTAGGTCAAAATTCCAATATTTGGAGTCACTGAAATCAAATTGCAAAAGGTATGTTTAAAAAATCATGAAGCTGCTTGAACTTGCCTTATTTTAAAGTTGATTTGTGTTTTGTTCTGCTCTTATTTGTACATTCCTGCAAATTTGCAAACCTTAACTTGTCAGCATTTGTCTTGTGCCATTTAATTTGCAGGAGTGTTCTGTTGTTGCAACAACCTTTGCTTTGGCCTGGTGCTGTTTCCCACAACCTCATGTCTATATTAAAATTATAATTTCCAGAATATTCAACCATCATAACTGAGAGGTTGGGCGCAGATTATAAGATCAATATAGCTGCAGGCCCCTGGAGGTTGGAAAAGCTGTTTAGTGGGTCAATTCTCATGTATTCTCTGTTCTGTTCTAAATTCTCATACAAGTCAGCATATTTTAATGAAGAAAAAAAACATATATAAAAATCAAAGCAAAACCAAATGATAAAGTACTTTCAGTTGATCTAGAAGTAGGAAACAGGCAGGACAGCCTTTAGAGTCCTAGCCTCTGGCTAAACATATTTAAAACTGGCCATTATGTATAACTGATATCACAAGTGATGCTGGGCATTTTCCTGCTTACGTGACACTTGTGTAGAATGGAGTGAACTTTGAGGAACAGAGGTTTCTTTCATTTGTGTTCAGCATGCCTTTGCAGATGATCCAGCACTTTGCACATGCTTATTCTTGCTGCCTTTTTAAAGCTGTTTCTTCTGTCTAGTCAGAGAAGATCCACTGTAGGATCTACTGATAAACTGATGCATTCAGAAGAAACATCACAGCTGCTGTAGACAAATTGGGGTATAGAATAGCAGTGACAGCTCCTGTTCCTCCTGCTCCGGGCTAAAAAACAAAAATGAAATGAAATAAAACCCTGGAAAAAGGGGTACCAATTCCCCAAATTGTTTCTGATGAGCACTTGATGAGGTTTCCTATGTTACTTAGAATTCCACATCTGGAGAGGGATTTTATTTGCCCTTTCAGAAGAAAAAAAGAGACCAAACTCAGGAGAGGACCAGTAGAATAGCAGATGGTTGAATATCACAATTTATTTGCCTAAAGGAGAGGAAGGAGTTCCATTGCCTTCATTTAAGAAGATAAAGGTAATTGGGGCTTCATTGAAATTCAGATTTTATCTTATAGTATGTAAGACAAGAAACCATTTGTGGGGGGAGAGGAGTTCTTTATCTGAATGGCTGGGATATGTGTTCATGCTGCTAAAAAGCAACACTCATTCCACGATTTAAACCTCAGCAACTATTAGAAGCTATAAGCATAGCATTTTTAGTTGCCATCATGCTTGAAGTTTATGGAGTGGAATTTAAAAGAAAAAATAGAAGGTATAATCCATGAAAAAGGTACCATATTTTAAAATGCCTAACCATTGCTACACTTCAAGAAATATGCTTTTTTGTACATGGCTGTTTCAGATATTGACAGACTGTTCTATCAAATTATTTTGTATTTTTTGTAGGACTGGGAAACAGAAACTCATGACTGGTATTGTTTTGAATGCCATTTGCCTGGAGAGGTGTTGATATGTGACCCGTGTTTTCGTGTGTATCATTCCAAGTGTTTATCTGATGAGTTCAGGCTTAGAGACAGCAGTAGTCACTGGCAATGCCCAGTTTGCAGGGTGAGTACCTCTGAGCTTTCATGTGCTGAATAGAGGCTTGGTATTTGTTATTTATAGTTTCAAGAGGTTTCTGGCAAGGAGAAACATCCAGCGTTGCCTGCTGCAAGGACAGTCCGTATGTTCAATGCAGATGCAGACATCTGGGTGTGCCTGGGCAAAACTGGTGAAATAAAAGCATTTACCCACAATCCTTGCCTTGAGGCAGTAATAATAATAATAATAGTAAAGTTGGAAGGGACCTTGGAGGTCATCTAGTCCAACCCCCTGCTGGATTGGCCTGGGAAAATCCTTCTGTGCCATAACCTGGAGTTTCAGAATTCTCTATGTGAATCCTCAACAGGCTTTGGCCATATCTAAGGAAATAGTATAGGTGCTTAATTCCCATTCATTTCACTAGCAGGACTACCTTGCCCTCCCTATCTCATCCAAAATGAGTCCAAGATGTATTGCCTTGATGGACATAGACCCCACTCTTCCAAGTCCATCCTTTCATAACATCCATAGAACTTGGAAGCAGAGTGATGCACCAAGCTTTTGCTTTTTCACTTGCCTGGATGTTAAATCCTTTCTGCATTTGTCCAACCATATCCAAATGCGCACCACATTTTTCTTGATTCTTCTCTAATACCAACAACTAGATTGTTATTAAAAATGTAAGCTTTACATGCCTAATTTCTGTCAGGACTCCAGAACATTTGCATTACAATTTAAGGAAAATACACTACACATATAAACAAACTTATTTATTTATAAAAGTAATTAATTAAATTCTTAATGACTTTTTCACCAACCTTTAAATCAAATTTTCCCCAGGGTGACTTGCACAACATTTAAATAATATTTCTTTCTTTATCTCTTTCATATTATATTTTAAGCTACAGATGTTTGCAAAGGTTGTGGGATGAAATTCACCAAAAGCAATTCTATTCAAGTGTCACACATTAAACTGTCACTTACTGCCAACATTTCTATGGAATTAGGTGCTTTTCATTCAAAATCACCTTTTTTGTGCTCCTTTTAAAAAACATTGAATAGTGTCTGGATTTCAGTGTGATATAGTTTGTGTAGGGATAGCAGAGGGGAGAGACGAGAATTTTGATAGGCCTTTTTCTACTCTGCTTTTCCTATTTAACTTTCTTATCTTGACATGCATAGTATATACTGTGCTGAAGAACATGTTGAAAAACGTGTGAATGAACAGTAGCTGTAATTTGTAGGAACCTTATTATTATATCTTGCTTATTATAAAGATTATTAGTAAAAATAATGGAGATGTGAAGGTCATGTGGTAGGAAGAGAGAATAAATGTTGAAACCGTAGGTGGGGCGTTGTTGTTCCCACTGTACCCATTTTCCTCTAAATTCTTGATTCTATTTCTGAGCAATAAGAACACCCCCCCCAAGACCTTACCCTTGGTTCTCCTTTCTTTTTTCAAGCCATATCTTTTTCCTTCCTCTCTTGACTTTCTTACACATAGGCCTTTATTTCCAAATAAACAATTACTCATAAAACAGTCTCCATTTTGCTCAGAAGTTGCCATCTACACACAGCTACCAGACTTAATCGGACTTCTGTCCCTCCACCCAGCTTTCTACCTGGTTCCACCATGGTCTGGCTGTCATGAATAACCCACATTTGTTTCTTTTATGGGCAGCAAATAACTTCTCTTAGCTGTCTTGATTGTAGTCCCAACATTTGATTGGGCAAGATAAGTGTTTGAAACCAGATTTTTTTTCTGGTTGTGCATTAGACAGTTTTTAGACCAGGGAGTGAGATGTGATTGAATAGCAGCTTGTGATTCAGTCCTTGGAATTTGTGTAACAAAACCAAATGTGACTCTTCAGGTCCCAGTCGATTTTTAATAAGTCTACAGGCAATTTTGGCATATTTTTAAGATTTCATTTGATTGACAAATTCATACCTTTTAAAAGTATGTACAAAAATATGTGTGAGAGATCAAGACACATGACAGTGTACTAGTTGGCCAAAACTCCATGCAGGCCTTTCTCTTAGTCCATTGTATCCCAGCCTTGGTTATTCCCAGGCGTGTGGGCTTCAAGTCCCAGAATTCCACAGCCAGCATGGGAGCTAAAGTCCACGAACCTGGAAATCGCCAAGGTCGGGAAACATCGGAATGGGACAACTCACCGCGGCCAGCTCACCACTGCCAACTTGCAGCCTACAAGTTGCCGCAAGACAACTCCACATGGACAGCTTGCCATATATGGACAACTCACCACAAGTGGCCAGAGGGAGAGCCAGGTGGGTGGGCAAGCAAGTGGGTGAGCAGAGTACAGAGTGGCAGCAGCCGGGGTTTTCCCATTTTCACACACCCTGCTGCTGCCGCCACTGCCACCACGCTGAGCTCTGGGCTGAAGAGGCCAGGGGCAGTGGTGGTGGGGTGTGTGAAAATGGGACAGCTGCTCCCACCCTGCCACCCTCCTTGCCCACCGCTGCCGCTGTCCCAGCCTCTTCAGCCTGGAGCTTGGCTCAGTGGCGTGGTGAGTTGGCCATGTGTTGTTCTGCAGCGACTTGGATGTGGTGAGTTGGCAGAGGCGACTTGGCAGTTGTAAGCTGACCGTGGTGAGTTGTCCTAGACCTGGCAAACACTGTGTTAGTCATTTGGTACCCTGTTCTATACTGGCTAGATGCATCTCCTAATATTGATGGGTAACCCCTGCCTATGCCAGCAGTGAAGCAATGCATATAATCTATAAGGCTTTAGTTAATAGTGGCAAATACTAGTTGCTACTCAGCAGAAGAACAGCTAGTGCAGTCAGATCACCATTCTTTTTTTTGGGGGGTGTCTCTGAAATTTGTAGGCAAAATGGCTTTTGTGAACTCTCCTGTTCAACTGGCAGTACTTAATTCTTAGGGCAAGACTTTACTATCATTGATTCACAAATGCATTTATTTTGGGAAACAAGTTTAGCTTTAGAAAGGACTTCTTAATGTACTTGCTCCCCTCCATAGAAGGCAGGGGCAGATCACAATAGCTAAATGTCCAAAGGTACTCTGCATTTACTGTCATTTTGCACAAACATTTCCTTCCTGAGATGCTTTTGCTATAAGGATTGAATAGAAGATTAATGAAGCAGAGGTCATTCTTCAGCCACTAAACAGGAAACTCCCTTGGGCATTGTGAATTAAGTTGAAAATAATGTCAAGTGACTGCACTTTCTGGTTTCTGTAAATGTCTGTATGTTTATTCACATGTTGTGATCCATACATCCACACAAAAAAATTGCTCTGCAGTTTTTTATCCTCAGGACTTCCTGAACCTCCTTTGGTAGTAGTGCAATGTTGGCTTCTTTCCAAGTTTGAGGCATCTTTGCTTCCTATAGTACACCATTCATTATATCTTTTAATGGCTGTAGGAGTTGGTCCTCAAAACATTTGTAATATTGACTTGTAAGACCATCTGGGCCTGGGGTTTTACCTGTTTTCATTTTTTTAATATTTTCTGATATTTCAAAGGTAATTACTGGATCGTTCATAAGTTGTCTCTGATCTTGTGAAAGTTTAGGTAAGGGTTATATTTGCAGATCTCAAAGAAACTTTTTGGTAATTTATCCTGAGAGGGTTTGATCCTGTTAGTGGACGTTCTATCCGAGGCTGGGGAAATCACTCCATTTCGGTCCCCCAAAATAAGACAATTTTCATAAGAAAGGTAGTAGATGGTCCATAAGATAGTCAAAAATTTACTTGTATCATTATTTAGCACATAGAGTCCCATTACTATTGATTTTATTTCATTAAGCTTTCATTTTTCTTTGTATTTTACATTTTGCTAAACTAATAAAAAATTAAAATTTGAAAAAAACCCACAATATATATCAAATATGTAAAGCAAATAGAAACACATACAACTAAAATATATAGATATGAATAAAAAGTCATAAATTACAGTAAAATAATATAATAAAAACAGCAGCAGTAGCAGCAACAATAATAATAATAATACAAATATTAGTGATGATCACCAAGATTAGCACTATTCTTCAGTCATATGTGGGAGAAGTGCAACAGAGGCACAGAATCAGGCAACCAACCTGGTTGGATAGAAGAAGGAATAAATAAGCATTATATTCTCTGCCAGGGTTTTTTTTTTAAAGGAGGCATATAAATATTATCTGAGATTCCCTGAAAAGAGCAACTGAAAAGCATGTGGCCCAGGGACTCCATGGAGCTGTGCCCACATGGGCATATGCTCTTCTGTAGAGGGATGGTTTTGTAATACCCCTGAAACACTGAAATGTATTTTGAAACCAACTAGCCTGCCCTATGAAAATGGTTTTTTTCAATTAAATGGAGAATATTTTTTACAAAGTGCACAAAAATGCTTCTGTAAAAGCTGAAACCATGGGGGGAGATGGGATAACCTATTTTGCTTATTTCATTTTAAAGCATGCACATAACACTGTATTTAGTACTTCTGGAGATCACAGTCAGTGCACTTTCTCATGAATCCTTCTCATGTATGACAAGATCCATATGTCACCAGCAGAATACTGATGCCAGAATCCCGTGACTATCCTGTGATGCTCTCTGTGGTTTTTGAGAAAGTGCTTCATATAAGTACATCAACGTTGTATGGAAGCAGCTATATCATTAACCTTCCCCACATCATGTGCTTCATAAGGAGTAGAAGAAACTACTTTGTAGATGATCAGACCATTGGCTAATGCTGTGTTTCTCAACCATGGCAACTTTAAGTTGTGTGGACTTCAACTCCCAGAATTCCCCTGCCAGCATGCAACACTCTTAAGTTTTTGCTTAGTTATATTTGGTGATGGAGGTGAATACTGAAAATAGGTGTTGTAAGACTCAAGTTTGAATATACTTGTAACTGTTACAAAAAATCATGCTCTTTTGTTGTTAGATTTCAGAAGCATGACTTGCAACATGCTCTGGGTTTTCAGAAATAGGTTTGGCAATACATGTGCCTCTTGAATCCCAGGGTATCTATCTCTGCTTTAAGCAGATAGTAGTAAAATGTGCTGTGATGCATAGGTATGGCACTATTAGGAACAATCCAGCAAGTTTCCTGCCCTTCTTGAGTATGTATTAGATCTCTAATCCTTCAGTCATCCCCACCCTTATATTCTTTCAATTTCCCAGACTCACACTTGTGAAGGCTTAATCTGCAGAGGTGAGAGGGTTCCTTGTAGGTAAAAATGAATTAAGGAATTTCCTCTCAATTTTAGCCAAAGGGATGGCCATGTTTGTTTTTTAACAGCCAGGGCTAGAGAATGGTTGCTCTTTCTAGTCATTTTTTCTTGACAAAATGTCTTAAGCGCTAGGTACTGTTGAGAGGAATTTCCCCTTTCGGTTCTTCCAGCCGGGATTTTCCTTGACGGTGCAACGCAGAAGAAATAGATCGTGAAGCCAGCTACCGGAAAGAGAGGTTTAATCTCGAGGATCAAAATTTAAGTGACAGTTCAGCTTGAATCCCCAGCTAGCTAGGCAGAGTGGTCCTAAAACATGGGTTTTTATACCCTTTCGTGGTTTCCAAAACTTGTCTTTTCTGATTGGTGAGTTTGAATCTATCTTTTCTGATTTGCTAGTCAGTGGCTTTTGTTGGGTAAATTTCCTTCCTAATCCTGCCTGAAAGGTGTTTAATGGCTTTATTGTTGTGTGTGATAGCCGTATTGTTGTGTGAATAGTCCTAATTGCTGCTGGCCAGCTTTCCATTTAGTGTACTGTATGTTAAGTGTTTGCCACCTAGCCTCAGGCTACTGCTGAATCAGGCTGCTGTTGAATCATGCTGGGGTGAGAGGGGGTTTTCCAGCTTTCTTCAGTACTGTCCAAAAGGATAAAGAACCTTAACAGCCTTCTAGAAAAGGCAATCAGGCCTATTCAGCATTATCACCTGTAAATAAACAAATGCCTAAAAAACTGAAGCAATCACCATAATAAGGGAACAACTTGCAGTTGCTTTCAACTGAAGAGTCTCAGTTCACAAAGATAAGAAACCTGAATCTATCTGGCATAGCCCCTGAAGTGTTCCTAAATTTACTGATTGGAGGAGGGGAGCTATGTTAGTAGGTGGTGGCAAAAAAATCAGGAGTCTGTTAGCAGCTTTTCTGATTTTTAATAACATTTGTTAGTCAAAAAACATGCTACTTTATTACTTAATTTACTAAGTCATTCTTTTGACTCAACAATTTAGGTGTATTAAATACATTAGCAGTGGGACTGAGGATCATTTTGAATGGTTTCTCATGCCTCAAAATACTGTATTCCTTGGTAAAATGTGGGGTTAATTTCAGGGATGCTTTGCATTGAATTCAATTAAAATATGGCGAGGATAGACACCATCTGCTGGTTTTGGCTACTACTACTATTACTACTACTACTACTACCGGTACTACATTTGTGTCAGAAGCACCTACCAAGGCACTTCCAGGTTGAAAAGACTAGCCGATGACATCACCATTGCCCAGGGGACACCCAAGGAGGCTCCTTTCATGTCCCCGTTGCTTTTTGCTGAAAGTCAGAATTGTAATTGGAGCAATAGTAGGGCTTTATAGCCCTGGCAGGACAAGAGCTGACTGAATGATGTCCTTTGAAAGATTGCTGGGACTATTAAACTAGGGACAGATTTTGTTGCTTGGTGTTTTAATTTCTCCTTCCAGGATGTATTTAAGGTATAACGTCAGATCAACAAAACCCATGAGTACCTTTTATTCAAGCACAGCCAGAGTTGAGGAATTCATTCAACAGTTGAATTATTTAAGTTGTGTTTGGAAAAGGGCTGCATTTTCAGACTTTAAAAATATGCATACAGTGTAAATACTGTTGCAGAATTGTTATTGGAATGTCTTCATTTTGCCACAAGCTTTATAAAGTGTTTTACCCCCCCCCCCCAAGCATATTGGTAGTACAATAAAAAGTTATGCCCCCTATTCATAGAGTCTTAATTCCAAACTTGAGTGTTTCTTTCATCATCATTCCTCTTGCATATTTGTGGGTGGTTTTGGATTGTTGTTGCTGGGGTCTACAGTATATGCTGAATTTGTCATGCTTGCTGAACACCATCCCATAATATATATAAAAAAAGCAAGTAGAACCATTAGGAAGAATTCTGGTAGGGTATCAAACAAGGAGGATAAATGGTAGTGGATTTTTTTCTAGCTATGCTTGACCCTTCCTTGATAAGAGGCAAAGGCTAAAATCAAACAAAATTAATTCATACAATTGGTTGTATCACATATTTTGTAAACCTTAATAGGTTTGATAGTGACACTGTCATTCTCAATACTAAGAGGTTTGGTTAAATTTCTTATGGTAGAACATTTACTGTAATTATAAAAGTTTTATCATTGGTAAAGTTGGAACTTACAATTCTTCTGGTTCCGTATTTTGAAGTTTGCAATCTCTGAAATGTGAGATTCAAATTTAAGAGATTAGTTGTGTACCGAAAGGTTTGAAATGTATATTGAACAATTTACTGTTTACTGTTGTGGATTGATTAATCATGATGTCCAATCTAATCCTACTTTGGTTCCAATGCCTTTTTCCATTGTTATGCTGGCTTCCATGGAACTGTTTAGGAAGAGCAGTTTTCCAGGCAGTTTGCACATAAAGAAGCACACTTTAATAGTGATTAGAAAAGCTAGACTAAAAAAGTATGGGGCAGTGTTTTTAGTTTCTGAGCCCTCTTCTGGTGTGAATTTTTTCCATTCCTTTGGTTTGATCCTGTAGAACAGGGGTCCCCAACCCCTGGTCCGTGGCCCGGTACCGGGCCGCGGCATGCCAGCAACCGGTCCGCACAAACAAGCAAAGCCCCATCTGCGGGATGCAGGCAGCACACAAAACCATGCCCCCTCTGGTCCGCAGAAAAACCTCTCTCCACGGAATCGGTCCCTGGTGCCCAAAAGGTTGGGGACCTCTGCCGTAGAAAGATGCTTTCCATGTCCTAAGTACAAGGATAATAGCAAATCTTTAAGCTTTTAAAGACAAGCATTTAGATTTCAGAATCTGGATTACCAGTAGGTTCTGAGAAGCATTGTGACTTGCTGACTGTTACTAAATAAGCCATTTTAACTGGTTTGGCATGGAAAGAAAAGCTGTGCATGCAGCTTTATCCATTCTCTCCATGGTTGTATAATCTTCAAGCCATTCTTAACTGGGTTTTTCTTGGCCAGGCAAGGGAATTTCCCTCCCCCCTTGCTGTAGGCAGGGCACTAAGGTTATGGCACCTAGTCAGCCAAGCCAGCTTTAGCCGTCTCTTTATAGTCATACAAACATACACCCAAGTGCATAAGTGCAATTTGTAGATTTGAGTTTTTTAAATAAGGATATTGGTGAACCAGTATCATGCAGAGCCTTAACCACTTCTGTTCTCCAGTAAAAAAAAAGTATACAGTGTTATTTCTTTCCTCTGCCATGTGTCTAATTTATGGGCCTAGTGAACCCTTCTCTGAAAACCATAATGGATTTGCTGCTTGGTGGTGAGACTACTTTCCTTACACCACTCCACTCCCAATTTTCCACATATCTTCTGTGGGATATAATCGAATGATCAAGTTGGGCTTGAATTCAAATCCCCACTCAGTCATGGAAACTCGTTGGATATCTAGTACTGTCACTCAACCCAACCTATCTCAAATGTTTATATATGCAATCTTGAGCTCCTGGAGAAATAAGGAATGTAAAATTCACTGTTCTTTAGCAAGATCCATTCCATTTAACTAGATGTTCATTTACCACTTAATGGCTGCTTTCCTGCTCACTCCTTCCCCAGATTACTCCTCACCCCACCCCACCCCACCCTGGACAAGCAGATATAAAATACTGTTCCAAAACTGCCAACCAGATGGGCAAGATAGTGATAATAACACCTGAGAATGATCAGTTAGGGCTAATTTGGCTGTGGAGTGTACAAATATGAACTAGAAAAAAATAGTGTTTATTTCTCGATTGCAGATTAACCTACCCATCCCATGCAGCTTTGCACAGGTGGGAGTCCTGTGGATTTGTCAATTCAGTGAACTTCTCACCTGGTAACTTCTAGGCTTTGTTGATGGTTGAGGAACAGCCAAATAATCTCCACCATTATCACTCCAGCCAGAATATTCTCTGACCAGCAGTTTCATATTGTTGTCCCACAAAACTGGTTCTGCCTGGTGTGCAATGCACAATAAACCACACACCGAGGTGGAGATTTGGAAAAGCTTTATTCTTCACAGAAGAAAGGACACAGGGGATCATTCCCAATAGGCCTGTACAAAGGCCACTCCTGCAATAATAGTTTTTATAGATACTTCTCCATAAGCCCACCTTAAGCCAATCCCTCTTAGGTCATCTTATGACCTTTCCAATGTTTGTTAATATTGCTTAGCTTGCATTTGCAATGTCTAGCAGTCATCAGCACATTTGACCCTGATTTCCAGTAACAAGTATGTTATGCCATAATTAGTACATTAGCACCCCCAGGTTCCTCTTTTCTTAAATGGTTGCCTTTGACATATCTGTAAAACTTATATATTTCAGCATAATCATCCAGTTCTAAATGTATTTTAAACACATTTGCTCCCCAGGTTTTCTGTTCACGCAGTTGCCTTGTCCCATGTCTACATTAACTGGGGATTTAGCAAGCAAATTTGTTTCCATTCCTATTTATGCAGGAACTATTAGCTAACCTCAATGCAGCACTAGCTATACCCACATAAAGGCCAAAAGAGGCCAAAGCTAAGAGAGGGTCTTAAAATACAGTGTCTTCTGCCCTTTACAGCCATTGTGCTTTGACTGTTCATCCTTCACCAGCTGCAATGCTGGGCTTCTTCCTTGGGCTTATGTGCTGTGTTTTAACAATGTTGTACTGTAAAATGTTGTCATGTTTCCCAAAAGTCAGAGTTCTAAAATAAAGCTGTTGATTCCTCCCCCTCCTCCCCCAGAGCATTAAGAAGAAGAACACCAGTAAGCAGGAGATAAGCACATACTTGCGTTTCATTGTCTCCCGAATGAAGGAACAGGTGAGTGTTGTAACGTATTATACAGTTCTGTTTAGGATTCTAAGCAGCCGGGTTTTTGTGTTCTCTTTTGCAGCTTCAAATGGCTGCAAGTAGTCCTCAACCTACGACGAGTTGCTTAGTGACCATTCAAAATTATGATGGACCAGGATACTTATGGACCCAAATTAGAAGTTCCAATGGTTGGGGTTTGAACACAGCCACATTTATGGACATTTGCAGCATCCCACAGTCATTTGACTGTGTTTTATGATGGTTTTGCCGAAAGCTGGCATTTTATGTATTTATGTATTTATATCCCCACCTTTATTATTTTTACAAATAACTCAAGCCGGCAAACATATCCAACACACCTTCCTTCTCCTACTTTCCCTACAACAACAACCCTGTCAAGTGAGTTGGGCTGAGAGGACTTCCTGTGGCGAGGCGCCGCCGAAGGAGGCTTTTTCCTTAGCCTCCAGCCCGGGTCTGCGTCAAAGCCGTCAAAACAGCGCGGATCAGCTGTTTTGCGGCTCGGAACATTCTCCCCGGGCGAAGGGGAGAAAGTGAGTTTGGTTGGGATAGGGGTTGAGTTCCCTAGTCCCCCCAGGAGCGATCCTGGGGGGGTGTAGGTGAGAATTCCCCCGGAGTCCTGACCTCTTCTCCGCAGCTCAGTGTGTCTTCGTTCCTCGGAGCGAAGCCAGACGTCGCCGCCACTGCTGTTACATTGTAGCTGCTTGTGAGTAACTTTTGAAACAGACGGAATCTGACAGGGGATCTTTATTTTAGTTAAAAAGTGACTTTAACTCGAAGACTTTATTGGGACTTTTTATTTGCTATAAGTGAAAGTGACAAGAAAATGGCCGCGGAAGCATTCCTTTTTTTTTAACAAAAGGAAAACTTTCACTTTCTTTCCGGTTGTGGATGTACTTTAAAGGATTTTAATTTTTTTTTTATTTAAAGTCAAGTTTTTTAAGCTTATACTTGTTGTGATTTTTTTTAAAAATAATAATAATAATTTGGCAGAATGGCTTCAAAACGTACTGTTCCTGCGTTGTCTAAAACAGCTATTTCTTCTCCTGTGGTGCAAACTCAACAACAAAAACCTAGATCTCCCCCACCAACACCTCCTCCCTCCATTACACTCAAAGATTTACAAGAGGCTTTAGCCAAGTCCTCATTGCAGACTCTGAAACAAACAGAAGAACTTTTNCAGAAGAACTTTTGGAAAAGAAAAATCAGGAACTTTGTGAAAATTTATCACATATTTTCCAAGGACTTGCATCTCATATTGATCGGGTAGAGGGACGAGTGGATGAATTAGTGGAGAAAATGGAGGGAACGGAGGATAGACTTGAAAAGGTAGAGGAAGGAGTGGAAACTTTTCAAAATGATATGTTAATGATGCAATATAAACAATTGGAATTTGCTTTGAGAATCAGGGGTCTTCCAGAGGACCCACAAGAGAAACTTAAAGAGGAAGTTGTGACAGCTTTAGCCCTGGTATTGAATTGCAATCCAGAGGTGATTTATGGAGAAGTAGAAAATTTTTTTAGAGTGAACTCCTGGGTTGCACGTCAAAGAAATCTACCTAGAGATGTGGTTGTTTATTTTACTACAAGAATACGTCGTAATGAAATCATACAGCTTTTTTATCAGCAGAGGTTTCAAATTGCCGCACAAGATATTATACTTTTAAAAGAAATACCTTCTAAGATCTTAAGAAGAAGAAAGAATTTTACATTCTTGACTCAGGAGTTAAAGAAGCGGCAGATACCTTTCAGATGGGAAATTCCTTTGGGTATTATATTCAACTTTGCAGGGACCAGACATAGACTAAACTCTGTTCAAAAAGCCAAAGATTTTTATACGTCGGTCCTGAAAGCTGATATGTCATCATCATCGATATCTAAAGCACAGGAAGATTTGATGGAGCAACCTGTTGTGGAATTGCCTGGGGCCATGTCATTAACAGTAGAAGATCCTCAGAAGGAGCAAAGGATGACCCGTGCTGCTTATAGGCGTAAAGAGAGACAGCAACAAAAAGAAACAGTTTCTATAACATATCCACAGCCTTCGGAGCCAGTGGGAGGGGTGAGGCCAAAGAGAGCGGCTGCCACAGACATGCAAGGAATGCTTAGCAAGCTTTGTAAGCCAAAAGATGGATAAATGCTGGAAATGAGACTTTATGATGGAAATGGAATAAATTAGTTTATATGTTTGTAAAGAGCTTTTTGTTCTTTTTTTTTTTTTTTCTCTGAAAGAGGTAAAAAATTAAGACTGGGATTTTATTTATTTTTTCCAGCTGTGAAGCAGGAGGTATTGACTTAAGACTTTATTGAACGTATAGATTGGAGAGGGAAGAAAGTGAAGGGAAAATTTAAGTGTAAAATGCAAGGAAAAATTATGTAAAGTTTAAATGTTGAAGGTGGATAGATTATATTAGATGTATGGAGTGATTAAATGTTACATAGTTTTTGAGTATATATTGGTTTTTAATTAATTTTAATTAATTCAATTGCTTTATTAGAGTTGAAGTAGGTATATACTGATAGTATTATATTTGCTTAGTTAAATTGTAATTTAGATTTGGAATGATCTGTTTTAGTCCTGTATTTGGTTCCGGGAAGTCCAGGGGGGGGAAGGGGTTTAGGGGTATTAAAATAAAATTGATGTATACATATATTAATAATAATTGTATTGATAAGAGGAAATGCTCGGTTGGTACCCCGAATTGCACACGAGGAGGTGGTCAGGAAGAGGGGGGATGTAGAAATGGGAAGGAGGAAGGAGGAGAGGTTGTGGGCTAGAGGTAGGAAGGAAAGGCAAGTGGATGAGGGCGGAGGCAGTTCGGGGACTGCCGAGCGTTTCCGATAATGTATTGAGTTGGATTGTTTTTTTGTGTGTGTGTTTGTGTTATAAATGCATCATATTACTTATTGTTTAATTATAAAAATTAATAAAATTTTATTTTAAAAAAAAAAGTGAGTTGGGCTGAGAGACAGTGACTGGCCCAAGGTCACCCAGCTGGCTTTACCTCCTATACCGTGCCTATAGCAACCAAGAAAGAAAATAGGAATTACTTTCTACCTCCAGGTTCCCCTTTCAGTATTTTTGTTTTTCCTCTTCTCCCCCTTCTTCATTTGAATAGATACAGCTTGCTGTCCAGGTAACAGGGGAATGGGGAAAAATATAACATGAAAAATACATGTTGGGAGTGCTCTCCCTTACCTGTGAACATGAGCTGAAACCTCCTAGTTGTAGTTGTGTTTAGGATAGGCTCTGAGTATACTGTATGTGCCTAATTCTGTTCAGCAGGTGCTTACATTTGGGACAATCGTGAGCAACTTTCAGCCGTGCAGAAGATAATATTGTTGCTAACAGCTGGGGACAGATTAGGTGCCATCCCTGTCAAATGGTCACAACTTAACTTACATGGTCTTGTGCAAGAGATTTGGTCATGTGAACCTGGATCTTTATGTCTTCTCAGTTTCAGCATCTCCCATCCTTTCTGATCCTGCCAGAATCACGCGGAAACATATATTGACATTTTTTTTAGAACCTGAACTTAAAAAAAAATCTGTTTCACATATTTTCTCTCCTCCCCGCCCCCCACCCTTGCCATGTGTCCTTAGGTTTTAATGTTTGATTTTAATTATCTGTTTTAATTGTATATGTATAAACATATGACTGTAAGCCACCCAGAGGTACCATATGGTAAGATGGGAGGCCAATAAATTTTATAAATAAATAAACAAACAAACTTAAAAAGTCAGTATTTTCAGCTATCAGAACTTTTGCTTGGAAATTTTGGGGAGAAAAAAATAACATTTTAACAATTGAATGCTGATTCAATCCATCAAACTTTACATGATACTGTAATTGTTTGAAAACTTACAGAGCACTTTTGGGAGGAGGCATAGTTTCTATAATATTAATGCATAGAAAAATGTGTATGGGTTTTGTCTTTTGATTATGCCTTTCAAACATTAAGAAGACTAAGCACCCTACATGTCATCAGAATAACTTTAATTTTTATTTGTAAATCGGTGTGTAATCTGAATGCTTATGAATTATTTTAAAGGCTATGTTAAAACTACTTTTCTCTCTTGTCAGAATGGCAGGTTTCTAAACCAGTATTTTCTGGTGATTTTTAGGCTATTGATCTAAACAAAAAAGGCAAAGACAACAAACATCCAATGTATCGTCGGCTAGTACACACAGCCATTGATGTTTCAACCATACAGGAGGTATGTTCCTATATAGTTCTGGGCTACATACAAGAGAGGAATATTGCCAGTTTTCAGACTAATCCCACTTTTGGAGGCTCAGTGTGCACATCTGGAAACTGTCAGAGGAAAAATCCATTAAAGGCAAGAGACAGCACACCAAAAACATCTCACTTTGAAATTCAGAGGTTTTATTGAAATTTAGAACACACAGACAATACTTACATTACTCATTGCAATGAGGACCAAGATGTACCAGCAGTCAAAGAGTGTTGGCTTGTGACAAAATGGTCCCAAGTCTTTCTCAATGCCATCCTTTTATACCTTAAAACCACAAACACATGACTTCTGAGATTTTAACAGTAACTGAATCAGATACAAAACTCATCTTTCCATAACACGTGTCATTGTTCCACTGCAAAATCAGTTCCTCAATTCCCACAATTTCACTTCCTCAATTCCCAGGCATTCAAGTTTCGTGTCCTAAATGAAATAAGCAAGCTTGCAAATTCATATTGAGTAAGATACAGCTACAGTGCAAATTACAAATATTTCCTTTGAATTATGAAATATGCCATAGCATAGACTTTGGCTCAGTGCTTTTTATAACAGGCATAAGGCCTAACTTGAATCAACAAGCCCTCCAGCATTTACACTCAATAAACCAGTGTTAAACCAAATATAGGGAAACATTAACATACAATTTTTCCTCTCACAAAACCCTGTACCATTTAGTTCTAGCTAGAAGCAGTTTGTATGAGTTAATTGGGTGAAGATCTAACTTAGAAGGGCTAATGCAGTGGTTCTCAACCTGTGCGTCGGGACCCCATTTGGGGTCGATCGACCATTTCATGGGGGTCGCCAAGCAAGGCTGTCCGCCATTTTTTTGTCCGCCATTTTTTTTGTCCACCTTTTTTTCCCCCCTTTTCCGGCGGGTGCCTTACCTCCCTTGGGCTGGGCCAGCTGGTGGTCGGCCTGCTCCATCTCTGCCGCTTGCCAGCTACGCCTCGGCCGGTGCAGGGGGTGGAACCACGCATGCGCGGCGCTCCCGGGCAGGGAAAGTCCTCGACTTACGACCGGTTGGGTAGTCCTTGACTTACGACCGGTTTAGTCCTCAACTTACGACCGGTTTAGTCCTCGACTTACGACCGGTTTAGTCCTCGACTTACGACCGGTTGGGGTCGCGGCATTAAAAAGGTTGAGAACCACTGGGCTAATGGGTCGTCTTTATGTGGAAGTGCTTCGGATGGAAGATGGGACCAGATGCAAATTTAAGCTGCTCATTGCACAATTTCACAGCTGTGAGCTCTCATAAATTATATTGTAGAAATTGTATTATAAACATACTTGTATATATGTACTTAGGCTGATTGGTAGACAACTCTAATGGATGTTCTTATAATTCTGTTTCAATCTCTATAGAAAGTAAATGAAGGAAAATACAGAAGTTATGAGGAATTCAAAGCAGATGCTCAGCTGCTTCTACACAACACTGTGATTTTTTATGGAGGTATGAAGGGATTGCTTGGACTTAAAAATAAGATCTTTAAGCAAATGACATCTTATTTGAGGGTAGAGATGGTTATAGAAAATATAGAGCAATTGAAAACCTGCCATTATGTTCAGTTTACTTCTCTTTACTTTAGAGACGTGAAATACCTAATCAGACCCTAAAAAGATTTGCAAAAAAAAAAGCTTGGCATGTACAGTCTCTGAGCTATTCTAGTTCATTAAAGGCTTACAGTAAATCAGGCTGAAGGGACTGAAGAAACCCAGGTTGTATAAGTTGATGAGGCCAGTTCCTCCAGAATTCAATTGCCAGTTGTTTTTCACTATATGCTTGTGTGTGTGCGTACGTGCGTGCGTGTGCATGCGTGTGTGTGCATGTGCAAATCCTTATCAAGCCCATATGATTTCAGTGAACATCAGCCGAGAGTGCCAGGCTATTGGTATTTGGTTTTGCTTGAAGAGTTCCAAGTTTAGGTAGTTACCACCCAACAAATCATACAGCTCAATGCAGAAGAATGCACTATATAAACATAACTATCCGATCCTCTCTTGAATCTCTTGATGCTTTTTGAACTTTGGAATTCCAGTGACTTCTCTTGTATATACTGGTGTGCAAATCATTTACAAAGACTTAGGGGCTTGTGGGTGTATTCTTTTTACAGTGAACAGTGAACAAGCTGATATAGCCAGGATGCTTTACAAAGATACCTGCCATGAGGTAAGTAATATCCATTCATGTTAATGGCTTCTCCACAATTGTCTATCAGTTTCCATATATCTGTGGTTGCACTTGTTTTGAAAGTTGTTCTGGAAATCATGAAAAACTCAGGCAACTCATGCTTCATTTTTGGCAGCTCAAAGTAAGATGCTCTTCAGAAATTTTAACTGTCCATGTAATTCCAAATCCTTATGAGTCAACAGAGGTAGGTTTTAAAAGCCAAGTAGTTGTTTTTAGCTACATTTTTATTCCATTTGTGAACATACATGAGAATAAGAGAAGAAAATTAGGAAGATTTTGTATGATTTCTGTGTCGGTACCCCCTTTTAGAACAGGTTTTTCTTTCAAAACCAAATCCATATTTTAATTTAAATGAAAACCTAAAGCACCTAAACAATGATAGTGGATTAAAAATCCAGAGATATTAAAAAATAAAAGGTGCCAGAATAATTTAAATGCACCATTGTTTGTGTACTTCTGTTTGATTGTATTGAACTTTTTTTTCATTCTTAGAATAAAGGTTCTCAACAACTTTTTGTTCAGTTTGTACTACTAATATGTTTCCTAAAAGATTAGAGGTCAAAATGAAAATCTTACCTCAGCATCTTACCTTCAAAGAATAGTTGATACATTATGTATGAGTGATAGCGCAGAAAATTATTCAGTTTTTGGAAAATAGATTTATTCTTGACTTGGCACCCTAAATTATGGATATGTAATCACTTTCCTTTGATTAACTTGTTCTAGATCGACAGAGTGGAAAGCCAATGGTTACTACTTTGCTTTAAAAATTGGCTAAATTAATTTTTGTATGTAATATAATAAGGAAGGCTCTAGTTTTACTTAATTTTTCCTTCTCTTTTACCCTAGTAGCTAGGAGATGACTATTCTGGCTCGCTCACGCACTAATGCATTACAAAACCTCAGTAGACCCCACTAAACTATTCTGGCACATTCTCATTCACAAGCATTACAAATCCTCAGTCAAGTAGAGCCCCAAAGGGCAAAAGTAAATTTTACCTTAACTTTATTATTTTCTTAGAATAAAATGGATAACAAAACTCTTTGCAAATTACGTATTGTTGCAAAACAGCGAGGATTGACGGGCTACTATAAACTCAGAAAGGCAGAGCTGATGGCTCTACTTAGCAGCTGTGATACACCTATATTTAAAAAATATCCGCTTCCTGCCCTGTGGCAGATAATGAAAGACAACAATATCATAGGCATAACATTTATGAACAAACGAGAGATTTTGAAACTTCTCGATGAAAGAGGGCTTGTTCCTGCTGAGGGTCTCACAAAGCCGCAAAAGCCACAAAAGATGGTGAAAGAGATCGATCCAAAGTACGAATATCTTAAATCAATTCGTAATAACCCGAGGATGGTGTTAGTTAAAGACATAGAAAGCGGGGTTGTGACAGAGTATCCCTCGATTTATAAGGCTAGTCACATGCTAAGATGCTCATGGAGGACTATAATGTACCTCGCCCAAAACTGTATAAAGACAAGTATGAAATAATGCTCACTCCATACAATCGAAATCCCTACATAGCAAATTTGCATTAAAATCTTTTATTCTTCTATTATAAAAACATGTCTGAGTTTGATAAGAAAGAGGTTCCTAAAGCAAATACTAATAATGACAAACATGAAACCTTTACCAGGTCTACTCGAAGACAATTTTACATTAAGTATTTTAAGTAAGTACAAAGACTTGAAGCTGCATGAGAGTCTTTGGAATGGAGATCACAGAGGAAGAAGAGGCATGGTTAGATATGCATGAAGATTATTATAATGAGATGACTTCACCCTTTTAAAATGCATTGATGTTTTGTTAGGTTAAGGCCTAACAAAACCACTACAAATTATAAAATGCAATTCTATCCATTCTTTATGGAATGTAGCCTTCGAGAAACCGATATCACAAGGCGGTGGCAACTACATAATTTAGCATTTGGGATTGGAGGGTTGATGTTTTGGCAAGATAACCCACCCGCGTATTACCCCTTTAACCAAACACGAGTTTTGCATTCCTAATAAATACATTGCTGAAGATCAAGCTAAACTCATTGACCTTCTTTGGGACCCTAACTCAGAGTACAAAAAAATCGAGCAAGCAATCTTTACAGCTTCGTCTTCTGCAGTTCTGGCTCGTAGAAGCTGCTGACAATTTCTTCGCCGTTAGCGTAAATTATTTTATAGGTAGGCGGATCCGTATATTGCACTTTGGATACAGTAAACAATTCCCTGCACCATCGCATCATATATCCTTTCTCAAATCGGCTCTTAAACTTGGAAATTCTAACATGATCCCCGACTTTAAAGTTGGGGTTTATTTCAACAGCGGGGCTCTGACTGTACAAATTATTCCATACTTTCCGCTCGTTTTCCTTGAGGAAACCAGCATCATCTTTATAGAGGAATGTTTACGGTTATTGTACAGGTCGACCATTTGATCCAACACATCGATATATTTGTTGGTGCTATTAGCAGTAAAGTACTTGAACATAATTTCTTTCATTGTTCTATTCCACCTCTCTACCACACAACTCTTTCCCTAGTTTTTGGTTGTGTAAATCTCAAATCCCAATGACTCGACCTCCTTGTTATGAAATTCTCTTCCTTTATCTGCCCATAATTGTTTGGGTCTACGACCGCTTCTTTTAACAATATGCTCGAATGCCTTACTAACGCTTTCAGCGGTTTTATTTTTCAGCGGAACGATCCAACTGTATTTTGAAAACACATCAATGACCGTCAACAAGTATTTAATGTTCTTGTTATCTTTAGCAAATGCACGCATATTGATCAAGTCGGCGGCCCAAGTATCATTGATCCCTCTTACTTCGATGCGTTTTTTAGCGAAACGACGGATAACCGGTTTATGTAGTTCTTCGGTTAGTTAGTTCGTCCACCTCAGGCTTTTTTTTAAACCCAAACCAAATTTCTGTTTTGTGTTTATAATCGGTTTGATAGTCGCGCACTCTGCTCTTTCCTGCAATCTTCTGGAAAAGATTGCTCGCAACACCGAACTGAAATCTTTGTTCTTCATACTGTTGAGTGAAAAAAGCACTAAAATTAGAACCGACTTTAGTCCGGTTATCCAGTTAAAAGAAAACAAAAAGTACAAAATGGCTCTAGTGAATCTCGAAATTTATTCGTTCCCAAACATCGACGCGAGCAACAACTTTAAGTACTCGCTGAATGACACTACAATGTGGCTCGACATAAACGTGCCAGAAGGCTCGTATGAAATCGATGACATAAACGGTTACATACAATCATGAAAGAGAATGGGCACAATAACTATTGTAGATGAGAATTACGTATCTGTAGAGCCAAACAGCAACACGCTCAAGTCCGTACTCGATATAGCACCTCAATACAAAGTTGACTTTACACTGGCAAATTCTATCAGAACCGTCTTAGGCTTCAACTCGCGAATGTACGCAGAAGGTTACCATGAGTCGGAGAACATTGTTAACATACTGAATATAAGCAGCTTGAGAGTAACCAACGATATAATCAGATCATCGTACGTTAACGGCTCAACAGGAAATATTATATATAGCTTCTTCTTGAGTGTAGGACCCGGGTTTAAGATCATCGAGGAACCGGCTAACTTGATATACCTCCTGATCATCATGAGCACGATTTGGGTGATGGAAACAAAGCTTGTCGATCAAGATGGGAAACTCATCAACCTACGCGGCGAAGAACTAACCATAAGGTTTCATATAAGAGAAGTTTAATATTATTCCTACACATGTAAAATGAGTCAATATGTAAATGTGAAAGTAAACATTAGCGAAGGACAAAAGGGCAAGATCAAAAGCGCTATTCAATCAGGATCGGCTGTATCTATTCTCCTATCACATTCAGATTTGTTAGGAGAGCACGTGCCAGCATTAACTCAAGCTCAAGTTAACAAAATGGCTAAGGCATACCAAAGCGGCACAGGAATGACGATTAAAATGTCTAAAACACAACTAGAGCACAACGCAAAAGTTAAGGGAGGTTTTATTGGAGTTATTTTGCCTATGCTAGCTACCGCAGGCAAGTTCCTTCTATCGAGCATATTACCATCGCTCGCTACCAGGGCATTAATGGGCATAGGAACTGCCAACGGCAATAAACTCATCAACGGATCTACAATTTACATCAAAAAGGGAGGTTCCGTATGTAAGATGGTTCTGCACGGTTCTGGACTGTATCTTCGACCTTACCAAAAAGGATCAGGAATAACAATTGACGGACTCTTCCTCAAATCTGGAAGCAGCGGTTTTGTTTCAGTTACCACGTCAGGATTGATCACCGGCGACTCACAAATTTCAAGACCTATTTTGAACATGCCACTGATAGGACCATTGCTTTCAATAATAATGTAATATCAATAAAATGACGAGACGATATGGGATGCTGATACACAAGTTTATTCACAAATATAAATGCCCACTGCCAGCCCCAGTCAAATGGCGACTGCATGAAGGACTCAGACATCCGCTGAGTCTATTAAACGGAAGATGAGAGATTTTTAGGCAGCAACCGTTGTCGATTCAACCCAGATCAGTAGTTACTCTATTGCTAGGATTTGTTATCATATTACTGCGAGGCGTTTGCTCAGTTTCACTCAAGCAAGCCATAAAAGAGATGTGCTGCAGTTTACAAGATGGGTTTGTCACCAAGTCCATAGAAAACATAATTATAATGATTCAGAACAACTCAGACGTCATAGTAAATATTGCCGTGGGCGATTCTTTATGTTATGTTTTTCACCAGTAAATAAAAAGCATGGATGGAACGGCTCACACGTACAGACTTCAAAAGGTTAATGAAACCAAAAAGAAATTCTACCGGAGTGAGAAAAGTACACAGCATTGTCGAAAAAGTATCACAGAGCGGTTGTTATCGACGAACTAGACGATGCTCTTGTTGCAACTTCGATGGGTCTGGGCATCGTAGGAATTGGATTTTTAAGCACAACAGTTGGTACAGCA